CCACAATTTCTAGACATATTTTGAAGTGTGAGCACTCTCCCCATTGAGTTACAGTCTCATACTTTAGAAGGACCCCTAATGTTCATCTTGCTTATACTGTTTATTTAGGGACCTGACTTACCTTCATTTCTTAAAACTACTGTCTTCAAAGTGACAGCCAGGGTTTCTGAAATGAAATCTACCTAAAGGATTGACCTGCTTCAGAAATCTGTCTTTAAGAAATGCTACCTTCACATCATCCATGATGAAGTGAAGTGATTTTAGGCTGGAATATCTCAAGGGGAAATCATATATTATATAATATTTTAGGTAGAACATTGAAACATATTGATTTGGGCCCCACTAAATTAGCACATACTATAATTTAGGCAGAGGATATGCTGAGACTTATCTGTAAATTTTCTGTGGAATAAAGAGAAACACGGTTAAGACTGAAGGGGGAATGTGTAAACTTTTTTTAAGGGGACAGCCTTTAAATATATAATGAATAGACAAATTAGGAAATACTCTTATCTATTAAATAAGTCTTCTATAAGAATATTTACTTGTCAACACTCAGGATTAATTTGGAATATTTGTATATTCATGAAAAAAAATGTTAAGATCTATCTAGATCCGACTTTTCACTAATTCAGTATGGCCTCACCTTCATATAGCCTGAACTGGTGAGATTTACTGTCTTCATTTCCTCTCTGTTTTATAATGAGTCATTTCTAATGCTGACTCTCTCTCTAGTCTAGTTAAGCTCATTTGCTCTGGTACTGTCCTTAGGCATGCAGAACAGTTGGTCAATGCCCTTTTATGATAACTCTTTATACTTGAGAAGGTGATTAAACTGCCTCTTGGCTCTCTTTGACCAGGCTAAACAACCCCAACTCATTTAGCCTTTCCTCACAGGCCCCATTTTCTAACACTTTAATCATATTTTTGCTGTTCTTCTTTGTATCTTCTCTAATTGCTTTGTAACTGTTTTAAGATTTAACCTGATAAGCAGGCCAAATCCAAGGTTTGGCACTGGATAAATATTTGTTTAATGAGTCACTTAGAAATTAAAAGAGGGCAAGAGAACTGGATGAGGAATCAGAAGACTTGAGTTTTATTCTTGTTGTGCCACTTACTAGGATTGAGCCAGGGTTACATCTAAGCAAGTCCTATAAATGTCTCCAAGTTTCAATTTATCATCTGTAAATTTGGGACAAAACCTATCTGCTCTGCCTGCCTCCTATAGTGAGCGTCAAATGAGATTATCCATGTGAAAACACTTTGTTTTGGCATCAAAACACTCTATAAACCCTATGTGTCAGGCACCTTTCTAAATAGTTTGCATATATTAACTCATCACAGTACAGTTATCACTCTCATTTTACTAGGAACAAATGTAGGCACAGAGAATTAAATAACTTGCCTCAGGTCACAAAATAGTAAGTGACAGAATCCATGCAGACTGGCTCCAGAATCCATGCTCTGAAACACTGTTATGCTGCTTCTCTGAATAGATATGAAAGGTGCAACAAAGCCATACGGTATATATTACTGTGGTGGAGGATCTCTTCAGTAACAAATAGGTAATTCTCAGAGAAGCAACCTCTTCGAAAATTAATGTTTAGATTGGTCATTGAATTAAGCAAGGCAGCTGTCCACCAGTGAGGAGAGCTTCATAAGCACAACACAGTAATAGGAATGCTATATCGGGTCAGGCCAATGGTTCATTCACCCTAGTACACCTAAACCTTCTTATGGAAAGTGCTCTTAGTTCTTGGATTCAGGATATCCAGTCTCTAAATATTCTCTATGTACCCTACAAACCCTTCATGGTTTCATCTCTCTCTAGTGCTGTCCTTTTCTATGTTAATTCTTACATCTGTAAATTTGGAATGCTTCTCTTGTAGATTAACTATTAAATAGAGATATGAAAGACAGATTGGTGCCTAATTGAAATTTTCCCCTAATGTAATCTGGAGGGTTGAAAGAGTTTAAAAAAAAAGGAGCATTGGGGAAAAAATATTGAAAGAATTTTTATTTACCTTATGTATCTGAATATTCACAAGGAAAACCAGAACTTATATCATGACATGGGGAGGTTGTGCTATATAACACTATGTTGAAGACCTGCTTGTATTTTAAAATTGCACCACATGGAGGCGTTTTCATTAACAGTCATTGGAAATAGAGTGCAATGTAAACTCAATTTATGCCCAAATCGGATCTATAGTAAACAGTGTTATAGTGGTGTAACAGGTACTTATACCTCAGATAGTGGTATAAAATATCATTTTGTGGGAGACTGTAGAAGTTTCCTTTCATAAAAACAATAATCTCAAACAGAGCTTAATACATTCTTGGAGGATGGGAGCATCTCTAGGAAGAACTTAATATTGATTGAATTATAAATGCTATCATTCTAATCAGGATCTGTATATTGAACTATGATAAGTTTACCAAAAGACTGGTTACGAACCAATGAGAAAGGTGATAGATACCTCTGTATTTTAGAAATGTCTTTTGAAAATGTTTTCTATAAAGATATAACATGTTGAAGTTGTTGCTTAATTTAAATAATTTGTTTAATGAAAATTTATTTTCATATAAAGAAATCATGGCAAATTCACTATATCGTTGGAATAAGCTTAGGCAGAAAGCCACATCTTTGAGAAATGTGTATTTTAATAATAATCGCATCATGTATGTGTAGGTACTTTTGCCTCTGGATGGAAATACAGCAAAATTGCAGTGGAACTTCTGAAATGTACTTGTTCAGTCTCCATCTATCCATTCATTCATCCAACACTATATGCTACTTATTCTGTTGGACACTGGAGATATAATAGTGAAAGAGATAAACCTAGTCCTTCCCTCATAGAATTTATGACATAGTAAGAACACCTTAAATGGCAGAGAAAACAATAATGAGTTGATGGTTTTATGACAATTTTTTGAAAGAGGGAAAAAGAATAAATAAAATCAACTCTCTATCCTTACCTAGATGTTCCTAAAACATTTCTTTGAACAATATTTCCTGAAACGTTGTATAGAAAGTATTTTAAAGGATACTGTGAATGTGCATATAGTAGAAAGGAAGATGGAGAAATATGACATGAAAAGAAAATAGAGTTTTTGAATGACACTAGTTTAGTTTTCCTTAAAGTGTCTGGTAATAATGATAATTTTTTTCTGTAGCATTTTATGCTTTTAGCATTTTATGCTTTTTAGTCTTAAATTTAAATATCTAAGCTTAATATGAATATGTTTTGGCACATTGAATTCTATTTTTAAAACAGTAAGTATTTTTCTTATATGCCACTTCTTACTTAAAAATTATACCAACCATGTGATGTAGAGAAATTTTTATTTTCTCCATTATGTAGATGAGAAATCTGAGGCATAGTTAAGTGCCCAAGGTCCCACAATTATATAGAATTCAGAGCTCTACCCACTGCTGCTTCGATTACATCATGCTGAAAAATCCCAGACTGCAGTATAAAGCTCTGTAAAATCCAAAAGACTTTAACAGAATATAAGATATCTAAGAAGCCAAAGTCACTAATACAAAAGAAGAAAAACAAACTATGACAAGGAGGATGTTCTTCTGCTTTGGGCCATTAAGTAGGTCACCCACTAAAAGGCTATTTTGGTATAAAATTTTAGAGGGCATGTAGTACATACACCAACATCACTGACCTGATTCTTCACTTTCAAGATCTAAGAAAATCAAAGGAAGGTGTTTTTTTTTTTTTTTTTTTTCTGGAGGTGGAGCAGGAAGGGGCAGGTAGATCATTTGTGTAGCTCAAGAGAATGTTAGTTGAGAAACTTGATTTAACCAGGCTAGTGCTCTAGATTTTCTATGAAGTATGATTCACTAGAGGTAATGCTGATCTTAACAAGGGGACACTTTGTATTTCTACGATACAGAGTCAGCAATTTCCTCCTTCTCTTTCTCCTTTCCTCCCTTCTTTCCTTCTCTTCCTTTTGTCACCTATGGTTTTTTGCATTTCTCTTCTTATGGGGGCATATCTGACAAATTATTAATATTTAATTTGCTATTAAACAGCTCTCCCAGGCAATAGCTGCTCACTACAATTTCAATCTCTGCAGCTGTTTTGGCCCTAGGTACACTGGGATTGAATTAGAATGAAAATGTTTCCCTTACAGTTTTGTTTATGGCAGTGTGGGCACTTTGTTATTAACCGGCAAATTGAAACTTCTAAGGAAAATAATAAACTTTCTTCACATTTCAGCTTGACTCTACCCCAGACAGATCTGATTTGGGGTGAAACATTTCTTCTAATATTTTCTGGTCTTAAATTTAAATATCCAAGCTTAATAATGAATATGTTCAGGCCCATTGAATTCTATTTTTAAAACCATAAATATTTTTCTCATATGCCACTTCTTACTTAAAAATGGTCTTAAATTGTTCTCTCTCTCTGTCTCTTTCTCTCTCTCTCTCCCTGTTTCTGATCTAGAGGGATAATCTGCAAAAATATAGGCAAATTCAAAACTTTGTGAGTACTATCCTGACAGTCTGTCAACCCATGGTCATCAAGAAAGGGTGGTGATCTTAGGAAGGATCTGGAAATAGTACATATTCCAGCAATGAGTTTCCTGAAACAAAAACCCTATCCTTCTGCATTGCTTAGTCCCTTGTCTGTTCCCTGTTGGATAGAAGGTACGGGAAAGGAAAGGGATTACTTTGAAAGTCAGTTGTCTATGAAACAGAGGTGTGGAGGGTATGTTTATCTGATAGGTAGCATTAAATTGCAAATACTTCCAGATTAATCATGGTATGCAATTTTCAACAGCTCAGATTTTCTTCTCTTTTCTTCCCGGCTCCCCCCCACCCCGCCCTGTAGCCACTGGGTAGGAAAAAAGGATTACAGAGACTATCAAAAACTGTTGGCACGTTCAGTCTGTTGGCTACTTAATTTATTAGCAGATATGGGAGCTGCCTCAGGTTGATAATTTAACATGTTGGCTGGCGGTAAAATAAATCTCAAACGTACCTGTTCCAAAATTGTGTTAATCCTTTCGACTTCGCAGTCAATCAAGTATCGCTTTTCCTGCCTCCTGTCCATTTCTTCAATGATGCGCCTGAATTCTTGGACATCCTTTATGTTTCCCACAGACCTTGCTGTCACTTGCCAGTTGTTTTGCACTGCTGCTTCCATAATCGCTTGGAGGATGGAAAATCCTGAAGGAAGGAAAAACAGCTTCAGTGATTTAAAAATCTTTCTGTAGGTATTAAAGATTCTACTGAATTTCTATTCACAGTCCATCAGGTGCCTTTGAACCTTATCCATTATGGAAAGCAGGCTTAATCATAACCTCAGCCTTAATCCTCCAGACAGTTGGCACTTCCATTTTGTTGTAAAGGAAAGAAGACTCTAAAACTTTTAGGCACCAGGCATCAAGTATCTACATGAGAGTTCACAGGTGGATTATATTATCTAATTGTTTATATTGACATGCATTCTCAAAATATATATGGAACAAAATCAAGGACTTCTTACAACGGCCTGCCATTTTCTTACTGCAGTTGAAGCTCATTTATTTAATCTTCTAGATAAATATAAGCATTCTGCCAAATTAGAAATAACTTTAGTAGAGATAGAGCCTTATTATAATATGGCTTCTCCTTACATGGATAGGACTATCCAACAAGGTAAATTATGTCTCCCAAGTAAAATAGTTTTATGAAAACCCAAAAAAGGCAGTTTATAACAAAGATATCATATTGGTGATCTCTCGATCACAACATTCTGGAAAAGTTCAGTGCTTTCTCAATTAAATTTACCAGAAATTCTGGGATCCTTTTTATCTAATTTACATTAGATAACTGTTAGCTGCTATTACCCTGGATCTATGTTGCATAAGAAAAAGAGAAAAGATCTGATGCATGAGTTTTGGGTAACCTTTTTGGAGTTAGGGTTTAAGAAGTTGGGAAGCACAGACTATCTCAAGTACGATCCATAAGAATAGCACAAGAGTTTTCTACATGCTGGTCTTTTAGAGTATTCATGTCTCTAATATTATATTGTATCTATAGTTTTGCTTCTGGTTTGAACCCATATCTAAGTATAACTTCAACTATAGACAGAATTTTATTGGGATATTGCCAAAAGCAGCTGGTTTCTTCCCATAAACCTAAATAGTTTTTCATTTAGAGTCAAGTAATGACTAATGGGAGTGGGTGATAGGGATGATTTGCAAAGCCAAAATGGTCTGTGCCATAGCAATTTGATGAGTGGAGGAGCATAGAATGGTAGAGGATTGTGCTGCACTTTGAGCATAGTCCAGGTTCTGTGCTGTTTTGGGCTCACCCTGTAGGGTAAGCAGGCGACAATTCAGAATTTTCTTCATTGTACCATAGAAAATGGTATTGACATTTGGAGAGCTCGCTTCAGGGAGATGGCAGCAGTGACTCAGCTGGTCATTATGACTCCTTTGTGTGCTGGGTGTATGCAGGAAGAAGATCACAAATGAGACCCAAGCACTTGGTAATTTTCAAATGAGCAATTTCAGCACAGGAGCTCAAAATTACAGATCAGAGTAAATTACCATTGCTTTAAATGTTAATTCTTTCTCTTTTTAAACCAACCATGCATATTTATTTCTCAGATTTACATTTTTCCTGTTGGTTGTTGATGTGCTCTGTGTTTCAGTGGGAGTTGAGGGCACATGGTAGGCCATGGCATGGGATTAAGAAATAAACATAGGAAGAAAGAAATTAAGGCATTTGAAAATCTTTCTTAAGCTGTGTATGATAAAGCCTCATTATTTCGAATATCACTAATAAAGAATTTACGAAACTTCAGCAAGGACTGGGTTAAATTTTACTTTTGTACTATGTATGAATGAAGCATTCGCTAAATAATAATGTTAATGAAAGTGGACAGAGTCTTTAATATATTTAAAGTAAACTTTTTAAAAGGCCCTTTAGCCGAATGTAGGTGTTCATGTGTTGAATCAAAATCAGCCTTCTAGCAGCCTTTACTTATTGGTCCTATTGCACCATTTGGGATGACACAGAGCAAATTGAACCCCTTTTTCACGTTGACAGTCCTTCACATTTTTGAAGGCAGTTAGCATGTTTCCCCTTAACCTTCTTTTCCTGGGCTAAAGATGTCCCAGTACTTCCATTGTTACTTTTATGGCATGATGACAAGTTCCCTCACTGTTCGCTCTCTCCTATGGATATCTGTTAATATTTTATTGATCCTGGTCATTCCAATGTGGTCTGATCAGTGTGGATGACAAGGAAATTATTGCTTGCTTTGACATGGGTTGTTATTTTAGCAGCCTTTGCCAATATTTTTAAATAGCCACATTATGTTGTTAATTAGTATCAAGCTTGAATTCAACTAAAACATGTCAGTTCTTTCCCTAAAAATCTTTGCTCTGTAGACTCACCATCCATGTATCAAGATTTATTCCATTCCAACGTGCTTTTATCTCCCTTTGTTTAATCCCTCACCCCATTCCAGTCCCCACTTCTCCCCTACTGTCAAATTCATTCAAATCTGGAAAATGGTCTCACTCACTTATTCAGTACACAGGAGGCCACACTTGTCTGTCCCTTTAACAGGCACATCTGTCTACACCTGCAGACCTTTCTGGATAATCTTCTTTGCCCGTGAAACCTCTTTTACTGACTTCTCATTAATTACTCCAGAAATGAGTAGCTTTAAATTCATGGTAAATTAATTATAAGCAATGGAGAAATGGGTTTAAAGAATTATATCACAGACATTTAAAATTTTAAAATACAACTGGATAAACAAATTATAGTAAATACACATACAATACTATTGTTTAAAAGAGCTCAATCTGTATATACTAACAAGAAAAGATTTCTGCAGTATATATAATATATTATGTAACAGGTAATAATAGAAAAAACAAGCTGTAAAATAGCATTTATGTTATAATTCTATTTTTGTAGATAAACCCTGTGTTTCTATATGTACGGAAAAAATCTGAAGAAATTAGCAGTTATCTCTGAGGTGTAGGACTACCAAGAACTTTTATTTTCACTGTCATTTATTTATGTAAAATTTGGCCCTTTTACAAGAAGCAGGCATTATTTTCTGTAAGTACAAAAACAATAAAGATGAAAAAGAAGTGTAACTCATCCTGTCCTCTCAGAACATAGGCTTCTGGAAGACAGATGATGGATGCGTGCTCCTTTGTAGGCTGCATACTGCCACACATGAGAGACCTTTTACTAACCACTGATTTACAGATCTTTTTATACTTTTGTTCTTTGAACCATGTTAATGTATTACCTATTCAAAAATTAAGTAGAAAAAGCACACTGATTTTTTAGTGAGGGCATGTCTGGGGCCTCCTGGGCTATGAGCCTTGCTCACATTTTTTGAGCAAGTCACAACTGTGGCTGAATACTGCAGTGTCTTTTACTATGCAGTTTCTCTGTGTTTGCTTAAGCATGTGGCTGTGTACTATAGAACCCTGGGGGGAATGGTCACCTCAGCTCAGTACATGTCACTGAGCAGCCCAAGAAATCTTTTATTTGTTTTCATACCTAATTGATTCTAGTTTGACTGTTTCCTGATGAAGCTGACCAAAGAGAGTAAATGTGTGCTTGAGGGGAAAAAAAAAGAAAAATTTGACTAGGGAGGGAGAGAAAAAAAACAGGCATTGGTGCTTGTAGGAGGGGAGGTATGTAACAAAGCCCTGGCTTTGTAAAAATAAGCCTGCTGTTTTAGCAGCTTCAGAACTGTCATCCACTCTCTGAGAGCTTTAACATGCCCAATTTCGCAACACTACTTTTATTTGAGCAGCAAATTCTCATTCTGATTCCAGACTGCTGTTGCTTTCCTCTTCTTCCTCATTTTAAAGAATGGTAGTTATCATATAGGTAACTGTGTGAATGCTAGATTGTCATCTATCTGCGTTATACCAATATAACATAGGTTGTGGCAAGGAGTGGGAAAGCAATTATGGATGAAGAACTGGGCTGCAGCTATGACCAATTTAATCCTACTGGACTGGTCATTGGGCTATTCTTGGCAAATAAGGTGTGACCATCTTGGTAAAGGGTAGTGTGGTAGATACTGTGTTGTACCATCCAGATCCTCCTTCAGCACCATAGAACTTATTTCTTCGGTTGTTGGGAAAGTTGTGGCTTAAGGTTATGACCCCTTCCTGGGGTATCCTGCATCCAATGAATGTTTACTACGGGATAGAAAGACACAACCCTTATACCCCTGGTGAGATAACTCTAAAGGTAAGTCATCCTAGCTTCAGATCCCCCATAAAAGGTAAGCTGAGGCTTTGTTATATAAATGAGCAGCATAGCTCATTTTCCCCTTGTGCCTAAACCTGTATCCTTCTCTTCTTCCCGCAATTGTTGATAATGAGAGTACCACCCAATAAACTTCTTGAATGTGAATCGCTATTTCAGTTTTTTTTCTGGGGGATTCATCTGCAACTATGAGGTTGACCTCATGACAGGGATGGCATCAGATACAAAAGATCTCAAATGTATAATTGTCAAAATCATTTTCACGGTGGAAAGAAGGCCAGGATTTTGTTCAATGTATAAACAAGTGAAAAAACCACTCCATGCCAAACACATTTAGTATTTGATCTGAAACACAGAAGAACAACAAATAGGATATTGACATAGGGAAATTCATAAGAAAGACACCCACGAAAATATAGCTGAGGATAATTTTGTTTCTGTTGTGCATCTTCCAGCAGGGACTATCACCACCTGCGGTCAGCTGTGAATCTGGACCGGATTTCTCAGAGTCACATAATTTGTACTTCTGACAGGGTCTTTTAGCAGTCCCCAAAATGATGGAAGTTACTGATATTGATGTACTGGCTTCTCATGAGTGTTGACACTTATAGCAATTTGTGCCTGGCTGGGATTCTCAGGGGGTTTGCCACAAGGCACCAAAAAGGTTTACTGGCCCTCTCAAAATGTTCTAGAGAGGCAAGTTGGTTGTCCAGTAGCCTATGCTAGAAATTACCTTTTCAATATTTTCAGGGTGATAAAGAAAGGCTTACAGTGGCCCATGAAAACTCCTGTAGCTTGCAATTATTAGACATAGAACCACAGCATTATAGGCTAGTACTCTTACAGATGACTCAGACAAGTAGGATACAATTTTTAAAACTCTGTAACTCTTTTCAAATGAAATTTTTATGGAAGCCCAATATCTG